CTGCAGAGTACCATAGTACAGTTTCTGCAGACATAAGCATGACAGTAGCAATATAATAACTACATAACGAGCATTATAACCGCCTTACAATAAAAGCACGATAATAAATTAATTTCACAGGAAGGAACATCGTCCAAGAAGCACCACATCTTCCTCGTGAACAACACAGCAAGGTTCACATCATTATATTAAAAAATAAGTGCTAAACCTTCAAGGGTCATACAGCGCAGCAGGGTAGGGAAGGGTGCAGTGGTATTGGGTAGCAAGAGGGAGAGGCATTATTATTAGGTCATGGAGTGCAGCGAGGCAGTGGATAGTAGTGGTTTGTGTAGCAAATCAGTTGCTGTCAAAAAGTCAATGAGTCTGGGTTAAAGGAGGGCCCATCAGCAAGAAGGGAAGGTAAAGTAAGGACATTAGAGTGGTGATGTTTGAGGTAAATTCTGTTCCAGTTTCTGTTAGCCACAGAATGTGGCTAACAAACTGGAACCTTACAATTCTCAGAGTAGAACAAGGCGCCTCTCCATGAGATACCCGTGAGTAAGACGAGTGTGGCAGATGCGATGACGGGTGAGTGTAGTCTCCCCACTGATGACAAGAACATAACCTAAAACCTATACTATGGATCAGATAAGACCAACGTTGTTGCCAATGGGTGCAAAGGTGGGCAGCAGTTACAGCAAAATAGTATGTGAATAGAACACCCCTGTATAAAACTGTGAGGTCATGTACCGCTGACCGCACAGCAGTGCGTCTGTTCTTTGCTTGCTAGAGATATGGCATAACCATAGGTGAGAAGAGGAAGAGGTGAGAACAGAATGAGGTGTCGAGGTAGGGAACTCTGAGTCCAGGACAACAAAGGAATTAGGGACAGAGGTGTCTATGGGAGGTGTGACCACAGAGGAGGTTGTGGAAGTTGAGACCCCAGAGGTGGGGGGACGTTTAGTAACTCGAGAATAAGAAAAACAGAAGTCTCCCCTGGAGGCATAGATGAAACTGCCATAGCATATGGGAAGCCTTCTGCCTCTTTGAGACAACGGATTTCTCTCTCATTTAAGTAAAATTGGCAATGGCAAGAGTAAGATGGGTGAGCCTAATGACAAGGCAAAAGGGAGGTAGACTACAAGACGTATTTGTATGGTCGTTGGTGGAACAGACTGGGCATTCGGCCATGGACCCGCAATATTTTGCTAGATGACTAAAACATCAGCAATTTCTACACTGTTGTGTATAGGGATCACACTGCGAACTTGTAAACAATGTCCCGCAATATAAACCGAGGACGGAAGCTCACAGCAATCGAAAGTTAAGTGAACTACATTGCAAGGGTATGGTCTCCGCCTGTGGGCAGGGAGGACATCAGTGTCTGACGATTGTTCCAGAATGTCATTACCACAAGTCGGGAAATTCTGTTGGGCAATGATATGAGGTAGAATGACAGTACCACTACAAGAATTTAGAGAATGATGTTTTTCAACAGTTACAGGAATAGCATCAATGGTTGTACGGAGAGCAAGAGAGTGAGCTTGGTTAGCATTCTGGACTGTAACTTTGCATGTATTGCTCATCAGAGCATGAAAGGGTATACATGCAGCTCTACCAAAATGGCGTAGGAGTGCCTTGCCAATCCTGTGATTGGAAAGATAGTCAGGAGAAGTTGGGCACAGAGTAAAAAACTTAGTCCATTGTGTATTTTGAAAGATAGCATGTAAGGGGAGGGCGTGTCATGCTGGACTTTCCTGGGCAGAATGAGAAGGAAGTGAAAGAGTATCATCATGTAATGGTCTTGGACTTTAGGTGTGGGACCAGAGCCAGTCCACCTTGGGATGGGCAGGCAATTCGAAAATCACCGCACCGTTAAGGGACAATCCAGAAGCAAGGTCAAAAAAAGTGCAAAGGTCAGATGTATCAAAGGAGTTAGGCAGAACCCCAGTACCTGGAGTGGGTAACGAAATGGCACCAGCAGAAGGTACAGGGGCATTAGAAATGTACAAAGAGTGGTTTATATTATAGCAGAAAGGGGCCCAGGGGGAGCTGTATCAAGGATTTGGGACTCCATTGTTATGCCACTCTTTTTTTTAGAAAAAAAAGAAAAGGCAAGGGGGAGAATATCGAATGATAGCTCCTAGGAGGAATGACATGGCCGTAAATCCCCCTCCATGCCCAAGAGGACCCCAGCACCCCAAGTAGTACAGATGCAGCATGAAACCAATGCCTTCATGCCAGTAAACCAGCAATCTGGGATAGCAACCCTGCATCTACCGAGCGACCTCGGTGGACGAAAGAGAGGGCGGACAGATATCCGCTACAAAGCTTATCGCCTTCGGACACCCCCCATGCAATCTGAAAGGCAACTTCCAGAGATACACTCATCACCCGAAAGACACCCAAAGCCACCCCCCCCCCAGGAGACCAGAGCAGGACATCCCCAGGTGATCCAGATTCCACGGCAAACTACAGAGCCACACACCTCAACAGAAATGGATGGACCATGGTACCCTTCCCCCTACCTAGGAACTAGGGTACCTGTAGGAAGAATTCCAAAGGCTGAAAATAGGAAGGAGATAGGGGAGGGATGGGGAGGTGGAGGAGGAAACGGAAAGGGGGGATGGGGAGAATGGGATTGGGAACAGGGGATTGGGAACAGGGGATTGGGGGGTAATTAGGTTCTGTCTGAGGAAGGACACCAAGGAGGCCTCCCTTGAAGAGGGTTCACATCATTAACTAGTATTACTGTGAGAGCAGGCTCAATAACTTCACTGTATTACATACTATGACAGGACATAGATATGAATAACAAAAAGGCACAATACCGTGACTGGAACAATACACAAATAACCAGCACATAAAAGAGAGAAGCTTACGACAACGTTTCGGTCCGACTTGGACCATTGACAAAGTCACACTAACAGAGGTGGAGCAGGACGGCTATATATAGGCAGGAAGAGGTGGTAGTAGTAGTAGTAGTAGTAGTACAAGAATTGTATATAATACCGACAGGATGAAATTAAGACACATGCACAACACCCGGGCATCCCCATCGTAGACGTTTCGCCATCCAGCCAGCCACTGGATGGCGAAACGTCCACAACAAAGACAACCAGACGCCGCATATGTGTCTTAATTTCAACAGTAGTTGTAGTAGAAGAAGAAGAGGTAGTAGAGTGGTAGCGGAAGAAGTGGGAAATAAGGAAGACGAGCCAGTCAAATACAAAGGAAGGGGAGCACTGCAAGAGAGCTAGATGCCCACAGAGGGAGAGCAAGCGCACAGAGGTGCGTGAAAGGGGAAGTGGTGAAATAAAATAAATGAAGAAGGAACAGAAACACGAGACAGGAGAGAGAAAGACAACCCAGAGGAGAAAAGGAGAGAGGAAAGGGGAAGAGGAAGAAGAAAAAGAAAAAGAAAAAGTGAGGATTCAGGTTAAGTCACGGGTGTTCTGAAGTTTGGAGCATTTTACAATGTAGTGGGAGAGGAAGGCATCTACTACTACTACTACCACCTCTTCCTGCCTATATATAGCCGTCCTGCTCCACCTCTGTTAGTGTGACTTTGTCAATGGTCCAAGTCGGACCGAAACGTTGTCGTAAGCTTCTCTCTTATGTGCGGGTTATTTGTGTATAGATATGAATAATGAAGCTTAGTGTAAAAGATTACACTATGTATATCTGTATTTATGTGCATCTGTGAGACAGATGCCGAACATGTATTACATGTTCCAGAATTGTTTTTCTTTGCTTAGGGCATATGTTATAAAACATTCTAGAAGGATGACATTACCAGTGGTATCAAAATTGAAAGGATGTTACACATTGGTTATGATCAAGATTTTTTATATTTCCTCAGTACCTCCTGTGAGTGCCAGCATATCTGAAACTTGCTCGTAACTCTAACTCGGATTTTGGCTCTTAACTCAAAGCAAAAAATCGACCTAGTGACGGCTCGTAAATCAGAAAACTCGGAAGCTGGGGCACTTGTAAGTCAAGGTACCACTGCATATATATACTATATATATATCAATAATAACACTGTGACTAGCCAAGGACTCGATCCCATGCTGCTTTGGCCTACCTTATGGTGGGTGAAAACTCATGATGCCCTAATCCACTGGACCACAAAATCCTTATGAGTAGTGCATCCAGCGGAACTGAATGTTGTACTCACTACCCAAGGACATACGATGGTGTGGATGACTCTAGGCTAATAATAATATAAAATACTGCTCGTTGTACTAGTACACCAAACAGGGACTAGAATGAAATTAGCCTAGAGTCATCCACACCAACGTGTGTCCTTGGGTAGCGAGTACAACATTCAGTTCCGCTGGATGCACTACTCTTAAGGATTGTTTGGTCCAGTGGATTAGGGTGTCATGAGTTTTCGCCCACCATGAGGTAGGCAAAAGCAGCATGGGTTAGTCCTTGGCCATTCGCAGTATTGTTACTGACTATATATATATATATATATATATATATATATATATATATATATATATATATATATTATATATATATATATATATGTATATATAATTAGAACAAGCAACATATGTCACCTTTATCTCTGGCAAGAGAAGGCTTGATCCTAAGAACTTTGGGACAAACTATTCACTACTATCAACACCAAGCCAGACCAGACAAGACTAGCACCGAGCTAGGTTAAGCATTTACTTTGTAGCCACTGGCACTAAGCTGGTGATTAGCTTTTCATCTCTCCTGTACGCAGTTTCCAACGAGAGATATTAGTGAAAGACACAACAGTGATAGTTTGAAGCTGATCAGAAGAGGCATTCTCAATCTTTTCTCAGGAATACTCAATAACGGCTAGGAAAAAAATCAAACTGTTACTGTAAGTCATATATCAAAAGATATAATAATAATTTATTGTATTTTATTATCATTATTAAAAATAATTGTAATACCACTAATAATGGTGCAAAAATAATTATGCAATTAGTGTCCTCTGTTAATCTGAGAGAACTAAACTCTTTATGTTGCTTCACCAGACTTACCCATCATCACTACCACCACAACTACCACAACAACCACCACCACACAAGCTACCACCACGAAGGCCAGCGAGACTCCACGCAGATGGAGCAACATGTCACAAAATGTGCCTACTACCACCACCAACAGTTTCTTTGGTAAGTTTCCCCTCGCTTCTAGTTTCCTGTCAGGAGTAAGTGGTAAATCCGTTCCAAAGGGAAAATGGGTTGTTCCCGTAGCTGGACTACTAGCGCACTCAACTCATACACTGAGGTTCGGGGGTCGATCCCCAGTATGGCTAGAAATATTAGGATGTGTTTCCTTGAGGCACTTGCTGTTGATGTCCACCTATCAGTAAATAGAGTACCTGGGTGTTAGTCAACTGGTGTGAGTCGCATCCTGTGACAAATCTGACCTAGTTTACCCAACAAACTCTGCCTAACAAGGGGCTTTCTATACAGTAGTATATCATTGATGTCAGCTAGGACTGTATACCTTGTACAGATACTTGTAGAAATAAAGATAACTATTTGCATCAGTGTCAAGGCCACATCTTCTCTTAGCTGCTGTTGCTTGAGGTAAACAATAACACACAACCTGCACAAAGGAGACAAAATTATGATGACGTTTTGGTTCAAAACGTAGTCACACCATTCATTTTCCTACGTGCAGGATATTTTTCTGTTGTGCTTTTTCATTCTTTCAGTATACAATTATAATATTGTAATGGTTGGTTTTGTCACCAGTGAGCCAGGTTATTGTATGACCTTCAATATTGCCATTTCCTTCCTTATATAAAACACATTTTAAATTAAAAACAGTGATGATGTATATTTATTTATTACTAAAGCATAGTTTTCAGCTAAATATGTCTGTGCTACCCCCACACAGTCTTGTTAAATTGTTTAATGTTGGGTCTAACAAATGACCTCTGACAACACCGTCAGGGAACACCACCGTCAACCCAACACTGTCAGAAGATTTAGAATCATTTGTATAAACAGGAAAGGCATGAGCATGCGACCGAGAGTTATTAAGAAAGAGAGAGCGAAAAGCAGTCCTAGGTAGGAGAGCTTTGGCGCACAGCAGTAGGGAAGAATGGACACGAACCTACAGAACTTCCCATGGGGGAAGGGAAAAGAAAGATGCTAAATGAACATACAAGGGAGGCAACTGGAGAGAAGACCGGAGTGAGTGAAGACAAAGACAAAACGGTTGGAGTAAGCAGGGACGTCAAGCAATTAATGGGTTTCTCTTAACGTCTGAGACCAACCTATATGTAGACAGAACACGGACATGAGAGCAGACAAAGGAACAAAGGCGGTGAGCATCACCACGATCAGCTAAGGAAGGAACATTCGCCTCAGCATAGAGGCTTTCAACAGGGGATGAATGAAAGGCACCAAGGCATAATTGTAGACCCCAATCATGAACGGAATCTAACTTAGAAAGAGTGGTAGGAGAAGCTGCAGAATAGGCTTGGTTGCCATAATCCAGCTTGGACATGACTAGGGTGAAATGCAAACAGACGAGAGTCTAACGATCTGCTTCCCTTGAACAATGCGCAAGAATTTTAAGGAGATTCAGCCGACCATGGCAAGCTGCCTTCAGAGAGGAAATAAGAGGTTTTCATGTCAACCAGCGATCGAAGACAAGACCAAGAAACTTAACCGTATCACATTCTGGAATATGTGAGCTGTGTAAATACAATGAACAAGAGGATGTCTAGTGAAGGTAATGAAATGGCTTTTCGTACTAGAAAATTTAAATGCATGAGAAGTGGCTCAGTGGGGAAACTCAGTTAATTGCATCCTGAACGGAGGCTGCTACCAGGTGACAGTCAACATCTTCATAAGCTATAGTGAAGTCATCCACATATTGATGACCAAATATGCAATGAAAGAGCAGAAGGTAGATCATTTATAGCCAAGGGAAAAAGGGTAGTGCTAAAGAAACAACCTTTTGGGACACCCTCGGCCTGAACAAAGTCTGGAAAGTGAGGCGCCAACATGGACATGAAAATATTTGTCAGATAAGAAAGTAAGAAAAATTGGTAGATTACCGAAGAGGAATTAAGGAATGGGCTTGAGCTTAAATGTTATACCTCCAAGTGGTGTCATATGCCTTCTCAAGCTCAAAAAAGACTGCTAGGATGGAGTGTTTGTTAGCAAAGGCATTTTGTACGTATGAATCTAAGTGGAGCAAGGGCTCCAAAGTAGAACAGCCATTTAGAAAGCCATACTGGCGAGGGGAAAGACTATTATGAGTCTCCAAATGCCATATCAGGTGTCTATTTACCAATGGTTCCATCACCTTGTAGACTACACTGGTTAGAGCAATGGGATGATAATGAGAGGTGCCTGGTTTGCAAAACGGTAGTACAATGGCAGATTTCCATTGTTGAGGAAGAACCCTTCACGTCCAAATAAGATTGAAAAAATGCAAAAGGACTGTAAGGGCTGTAGAATGCAGATGTTATAGCACACTGGTATGAATATAATCAGGCCCAGCTGCCAATGACTGGCAAGTGGAAAGCATGGACTCTAGCTCTAGGAAGGTGAAAGGTACGTTATACAGCCCCATTCCAAAGGCAATTGCTCCTTGATAGACTTAGATGCAAGAAATGAGCGACAAAGGTGAAGCCCTTGGGAGAGACAGACAAGATAAATCCTAATTTCTGTGGCAACTTCAAGAGGTTCTGCAACACTAACACCAGCAACTTGCAAAACGGGAGCTAGGTCCAGAGTGTACTTGCCACACAACTTCCATACCTTCTTCCAAACCGCACACACAAGGGAAGTCGAAGTAATGGTAAACAGTCTTGCCAACAAGTGCAATTAGTGGCTCATATGATGTGGCAAGCAACTACCGTTGCCCTCTTAAAATCCAAAAGACGATCTGAGGTCTGATTTTATCGATAACGGCCCCACGCAGCATATTTTAAACGCACTATACGGGCACATGCAGGAGACCACCAAGGCACACATGTCTGAGAATGCCTGCCTGAGGTTTGAGGAACAAAACGTGATGCTGCAGTCAAAACTAATCTCGAAAACTGGTGCACTAGTTCATCAATAGAGGATGAAGGAGAGTTCCTACAAATGGCGGTAAGATGAGAGTATAAGTCCCAGTTCGCTCGTCCAAATTGCAATGGGGGCTACGAGGAGCAGATAGATCAGTGCAAGAGACTGAGTGTGAGAGTCAAAATAGGTGGGAGCACCCATATTTAAAACATGAAGTGGATGAGAAGTGAGACGAATCTCCAACTGATCACAACGTGAGTCACAGTGGGACCCTCCCCAAAGATGATAAGTGTTAAAATCACCTAACAAGATGAGTGGTGGTAGAGAAGTGATCAAGAATGCAATATCTGAGATACAGAATGCACAGGGAGGGGAGACATATAGAAAGCAGACTGTATACCATCTGTGCAAACTAATACACGGTGCAGTATAATGCAGCAGAGAACGAACAAAGACCTAATATGGTATACCAACATGCACAAGAAGCACACTTATTAAATGATTCATCAGGAAAGGGACGAGAAGAAATCAACAGCAAATAGCCCAAAATGGGACGAATAACAGCTGAATGAATTTTAGGGAAAACTGGGAGAGCAACACTTTGAACTCTCCCCAATTACCCCTGAGGCCACAAATATTCAATTGTAAATAAGCCATTATTCACAAAGACAGGTATGGCAACAATAAGAAGTTATAAAATCTATGGGCTATTAGGGTCAGTGAAGCCAATGTGTGGAGGCAACGGAAAGTCTGCCAGGAAACAAGAGAAAAGGGGACTACATGAGGGAGGGGGGTGACCCTCCACCTTCATGTGAGATTTAGAAAGGGGGTTGAGAACCAGGCACCAAGGCCGAAAAGGAAAACTTTTGGTGAATTGTAAGCACCAGAGGAATGCGAAGAGACTTGGGCTTATGAGGCAGGTTCAACTTCGCAGGTGATAAGCACGAAGAAGATGTAGGCGTGCAAGGCCTTGTAGACTGAGAAACTAGTGGACAAGAAGTAATGGTTGGAATAGGTAAGGAGGTGGTTGTTTCAAAGGGTAAGACCACAAAAGAATTAGAGATGGGGGTAACCCCAGAAGACACGAAACTGGAGGAGCTGGTTGGCTGGCAGACCGTCATAGTTGGAAGTCTCCTAGCTACTCGAGAAAAAGGGACACAAGGAAGATTCCCCCTGAAGACAAAGCCAAGAGACAGCCATAGCATAAGCCCTTCACTCTCCTTAAGACAACGGATTTCTCGTTCATTACGACAGACCTGACATCAGCAGGAAAAACAAGGAAGAGTTTCATGGCAATTGAGACAAGTGGGGGGAAGACTGCATGATGTATCAGCATGATCTATGGCATCACAGATCAGGAATTCCACTGCATATCTGCAGTATTTAGCATGTTGTATTTAGCAATTTCGACACTGTTGGGGAGTAGGGACCACTTTACAGACTTCTAGGCGACTGCCCACAATATAAACAGAGGACGGACGTTCACAGAAATCAAAGGTTAAGCAGGCGATGTTACTGAGAAAGTGCCTCCGCCCACGAGCTGCTGAGGATATGTATCCACTTTTAGAACTGGAAGATCCTAAAGGGCTAATTGCTCCAAAATATCATTGCAAGATAGAAAAACCATTTCGTACAATGGTACGTAGTAGAACCACCATACCACTGCAAGAATTGAGAGAAGCGTGCTTGTGAACTGTGATTGGAATGTTGTCAATTGAAGTATGATGGGAAAGAGCATGAACTTGTTCTGCCTTCTGGACTGTAACAATGTGCACACAGCTTCGAAGAGCATGAAAGGATACATTTTGGCCAACGTGTCATAAAAAGAGCTTTACCAATACTATGGTCAGAAAGATATTCAGTTGGAGATGTCGGTTGTAGGGAAAAGAATTTAGTCCACTGCATACTTGTAAACATGGTGCGTAAAGGAAGTGGGTGTCACATAGGTCCATTCCTGGTGGAATGAGCAGCCACTGAAGAACCGTCTCAGAAAATGCTCTGGAACATTTAGGCATAGTACTGCGGGCGGCCCGACCTGAGGTAGGTAGGCGATCCAAAAACTGTCGCACCATATTCGGGGAAGCCAGACACATAGTTAAAGGCATGCAAGAAATAGAGGCAGTAATAGAAATGAGCGGAGCCCCAGCACCTGGAGCAGGTGACAAAGCATCACTGGAAGTACAGGAGTATGGAAAGAGTCTAGAGAATGGTCCAGTAATGAAGCTGGATTGGAACAGGATGCAGGAACAGAAAGGGGCCTGGGAGGAGGATTATCATGGAACGAAGTCTCCATGATAGTGGTACTTATTATTGTAAAAAAGGAAAGAAAACTAAGAAAAAAAAGAGGGACAGTTGAGAAGGCATGAAAGGGCTGTAAGTTTCCCCCTAATCCGAGATATCCTCGAGCCTGCCAGTATTGCAGATGCAGCACTGAACACGTGCCATACCCTTCCCTTCATGCCAGTAATCCAGCATTTCGGGATAGCAACCTCACATCTACTGAGCCACCTCGGTGGAGAAGAGAGAGAGCTGATGGAAATCTGCCACAAAGCATACCTCCTTCGGCTGTTACCTCCCAGAATCGACAGGCAGCCTCTGGAGATACACCTGTCATCTGCAGGACACCCTGCCCACTTCCCGAAATCTGGAAAGGGAGCAGGGCGCCTCCAGACAATCCAGATTCCATGACAAACTACATCACACTTGAGGAACCTCATGGAGTGGAATGAACTCCAGCATACTTCCCCCTACCTAGAAATCGTAATGCCAGAGGGGAGGACCCCAGAGGCTACAAATGGGATGGGGAAAATAGGAGTTTTGGGAGGGGGAAGGAAAGGAAAAACGGGGGATGGGGAGGACGGGATAGAGAAGGGAGGACTGGGGGGTAATTAGGCTCGGTCTGAGGAACACCAAAAAGTCCAGTTCTTCAGACCAATAGCCTCTCCACAACAAGGAGCCCCCCTTAAAAATGAACTGCTGAGTAATACAATAATAAATAACATTAATTTTAAGTAACCACCCAAAAATACAAGAGAATATAAATAGGAGTCGAATTATGATTACAAGCCATTGTTTATACGTCTAACACACTTAAAAAACACTAAATGTAGGTAAAGTTTTTGGAACCTAATTCAGTCTTTTTTTTTATAGATATTACTCAAGCTATGATGCAGTGTAAATTGCTTAATAATACACACCCGTTTTTATCAAAAAAAGATAAAAGATTGCACAATTACTTAGTAACTGGCTCATACTTGAACTTTTAAAGACACACTCAAATATTTAGGATCACTTCTTGAAATTCCATGACTAAAATATTGAATAAATGCTCTCGTTTGTCATTATATTTTTCGAGTCTACACAGAACTTGAGAACAGAGGTTAAAAATAATAAAAATCAGTTTATCTCTTATTTTACTTTACCAAATGTGTATTTTCTGTTAGGTAATGTATAAGGATCACTGATTTCTGAAATATATTTTTAATATTGCAACATTTACATTGTTTAGAAATGCTTAAAATATTTTTACATTGGTATTAATAAGAACTCTTTAGCTTGTACTGAGCAATTTACGTCATTTTATTATTTGTGTAAATTTTGAACTAAAGACAAATTGGATTCCGAAAAGTTTAGCTTCATTTAGTCTATGAAATGTGTCAATTTTCTGCACTGGATATGAATATATAATTCAACTGGTATTCTGCAGTATATATATTGTGATATTGTTTATTTGCTGGTCTTAATTGTAACCAGTAATAACATGTGATATTGTATGATTGCATTAATAAGTTGTTGACAGCGTTTTATACAATGACAGACTAAGAAGTTTACCTTTTTCTTTCACTCCAGATATTCCCAGCTTGTTTGGAGCAGGTAAGTACTCTCAGGTACTCTCAGGTACTCTCAGGTACTCTCTGCAATGTCTCCATGTTGAATTATAAAACTGAGATGGTAAATTTAAAAAAATACCAGTGAAAATAGGCAATAAAACCTGTGCGCTTTTATGTGCTTATATCGTCTGGAGAATAGTTATTCCTCTGAAGATGTGTAAGCACATGAAAGTGCTTAGATTTTATATCCTATTTTCATTGTGGTATTGCTTCGTTATATTTGTATAAGAAAATCGGAAATCGGAAGGTTGAACGTATCTGAACAATTTGTTTTCTCTCTGACAGCTAACACAGGGAGGATTGTCGTGCCTCCGTCAGTGAGTTGCTGTACCAGCCTTACGTAAGTACTCACGAACATACTGCTACCAGTATACTTACAGTCTGGTTGCACACTACAAACTGCCTCACCATATTCAAGGCTTTATCGTTCTTCCTGTCTCTCAACTGTATGTTTGTCGTATTTGATTTTCAGTATCAATTTGTCGGGTTTTTACTCTAGTTCAAAGTGTGGCACACGATTGTTATTTTATGCAAAGTGGCAACAAGACTGTGACGAATATCGTCTGTAAAGGATATCCAATTTCTTTACTAACTTTTCGGATTTGTTTTGATTCATCACCAGTTTAGGTTAAGGTTCGTCAGGAAACAGGGCAAGTGTTCCTTACGCAAGTCTTAGATGATGACCCGTCATTAGAGCTTTTGGTCATCTGACCGAGGCCTTCCGCTGGCTTACCGTTCCACCTCTTAAAACGTTATGGTTATTTTTATAACTAGTATGATTCATCAATAGAATCTTAAAATATCTACAACATAAAGCGAATAATCCAACTGATTTAATTCGTACGATTTACAACAGACTTATATTATAATGTTTTTGTATAATACTAAAATAAAGACGAAATGAAGCTAAAAATATCAGAACCAAACTGAATAATTCAGTTCGAGAAATTAAAACAATATTGGGTAAAACCTAATTTGAGCAAAAATATGAAACTTGTACTAAGTTTAAATAAGGTATATATAACAAAGTAATTATACTCACACAGCTGTGACCCAACTTAACACATTACAAATGACACTGCTTAAAACAAATAATTTTTGGAGCCTAATAAATTCTTTCAAATCATAAAGTAACGATAGAGTAATGTTATGTAAATTGATCATTAATACAAACTAGACGCCGTCTGGAACACTACACAAACAATCAAGATTCTTAGGGAAATATTTCTAAAGAATGTATATTAATGGTGTCACAGAGGAAAACAGCCTTAGTCTAGTTTTTCATATCGAAGACTCGTTTTTTTCGCTGACCCAGAGTAGCTAATGTAAAACTTGTATTTTCTATACTAGTGTTTAATGTTTTATATTATTTCTTCCTGCATGTAGTCTGTCAGTGTTATATTATCTTCACAAATATTAGGGACAATATAAAGTGGATTTCATTTTTATTACTAAAATATTGAGTGCACGTTGAAGTTTTCCATCTTTATGGAAGGGTGTGTAATGTATTTGAAAATTGCTACTTGGGTCAGTTCTCAGCTCCTGGGCCTGTCTTTTTAACTAGCTGGTGTCAGGATCATTTCTTCCTAGGTTTGAAGACACCATTATAAATTTTTATTAAAGTTGTGCATGGACACTGCCTCAACATCAAGAAATTTTTCTTGATGTTGATATGGCTATCTTGCGTTTCAGTTTTTTCCTCTACATCAATTAAACACTTCCTTATAATTTTAATGATGTAATAATGAGAGAATTACCGACAATTTGTGACATTTTGTCGTGGCAACATTTTGCGCTTAAGGGGTTTTGTCAAAACTTGATATTATGAACACAATCTAGTGTCCTGGACACCTGGTTGTATCAAGGCAACTGAGGTAGAAACGAAGAACAAGCAAAAGGCAGCATAGAGTAAATATATATTTCCTTCACTAAACAGAAAGTAATGTTCGTCCACTATATACAGATGATATGTACAGTAAGGTAATGCAAGCAAGAGACACGGTGAGAACAGTCATCGACCGGGCTTGGAGGTAAGTCTGCCAATGTTGATTCATGATTGTCCTCCACATAGCTTCACAACTCTGGCAGGCTGACCTTGTCCTTGGCTGATTGAACCAAGGCGCTAGCATGACGACGGGGGCCATACTACTAATGCCCTTAGCACCTGGTTAGCTGGTCGGGAGGGCATACTTCTTTGGGTGTGTGACAAACACCGAATAATATGTAACATACTCTCAGAATGACACACTTGACAAAGCTCCTTGAAAGAGAAACATTGCCACAATAAAATGTCACATTAATTTCGCGTCTGTGTTCTTTTACTTAGCAGTTTTAATCATCCCTTGCAAAAGATACTGGTCAGGGATGTCGGTCAGTAATTTAATGCTCCTTGTCAGTCCTCAGACGTGGACATTCCTATTGTGTTAGACGCTTTCTAAAAGTCATCGACACCATGCCTAACCCTTCTAGGGTAGGGTAGGTGCCTGAGTCCGAGCGTTTAGCTCATAAGACTGCCATTCCATTTGCCCCCTTGGGGCGGGGATGGCAGACCAGAGAGGAGAGTAAACATGTCAACATGTCGGTTCAGAGAACCGACATGTTGATAAATTAGAACATGGCATATGTGCGGAGAAGCAGCTTATAAACCGTAGGCAGGAGAGGTGCAGCAGTTGTAGGTGGTGTCACATTTGCCCAATGTGGAAGTAGGTCGTGCCCAAGGGTTAGGCAAGTGAAGAATTCCCAGGTATTAAGATCCCAAGACGTTGCAGTGTCTGACAGGATTGTAGATGAATGGTTTGAAAAACCGACAAGTTGAAGATTGAGACACTTATGCAACATATGGGAATCTTTATTCAGGAAACGTTTCGCCACGCAGTGGCTTCATCAGTCCGATACAAAGTAGAAAGGCTTGTGGCTAGGCCTGGGGACAGTTGGTCCCAAAGATGAGGGGGGTACTTGTGCCTCCTCCCATGGGAGACTTAGGTCTCAGACACTCCCTAAAGAGGGAGCCAAAGCCGGGCCACCACTTGGAAAAAGCCCGGGCCGGGAGAATACCGGCGAATCTTTAATAATAATAATAATAATAATTTCTAAAAATCTGGTAATGTTCTTGAAGATTTGTTAAAGAAATCGGTAGTTTTTTCAGCCTATCATTTAAAAATCTTGGCAACATTTAATTTTGTTTTAATGGTCTGGATAGTCACCTTGCACCTAATTATTATGTTTTCTCATTTGGTTCCCGTGTCCTCTAATCTCATTAAGTTCCTTTACCATAGTGAAGAAATAAATTTGGTTACCAATTTATCCACTTCTGAGGTCTTAACATGTCAGGTGTGGCTACCATGAGGGTGCTACTTTCTTGAAGATGGTTTAACACAGATCCTGATATAAACCTTGGTAATAGCTACAGACAAATTGGTTTAGAAAGACACGTGGCCAAACACTAGGACAAATTTACTAGAAAGGTTTCGGTCCTGGCATCGAAATGATCAAGGTCCCAAGACCGAAAAGCTTTATAATTAATATGCCCCAGTGTTTGCTTATGTATCTTTCTAAATCAATATAGATGCTACGTCGGGTCATAAATGACTCCTTGTTCTGTTTCCAGCTAGTTAAAAAATCAGATTGTCCAGCAGAAAATATGCCAAAGAATTTTTCCTCCCTCTCGACGAGGGAGAGCCACAGCCCATGGGGTTCGATTCTATATAAATTTTTCGGTATTTTGTCCCAACCCTCATATCCCTTTTATTTTCTGGCGATGAATTCCAGTATCTACTTATCGGGCCAGTCATGCAGTTTGTCCTGTCCATCTTTTATTCCCATAAATTTATCTTTATTTGCGAAGAGAGATACAAAATACTATAACTCTTCCTGTATGTCACTCACTTAAACTAGGGAGAAAATCGGTCCTAGCACTAATTCTGATGGAACCACATTATTGTATTTGTTTATTCTGATGTGTCTTCCTGGACCATCACTCCTTGTCTTCTTGCAATTTTTCAGACCTTATCTCTGACAAATGTCTTTCACTATATCAGAAATATGCAGACACTTCCCCTCTATCTTGCGTTATTTCTGATACTTTGTTATTGAGCTACAACAGGTTTGTGATATGCAATATCCCATTTCTAAATCGTGCTACTTTAACATAAGAAAGAAGGAAGACTGCAGCAGGTCTACTGACCCATGTGAATTTACTTCCGTCCATGTGTTTCACTATCACTCATCTGTTTGTTGTTTCCACTCCCTTACATAGTTTGCATAAAAAGGATACTGGCATTTTACTGTCATTTATTTTAGTGCTTCTTGTCTTGGTTATACATTCCCAGATCTCTACTGCTTCGGCTGTTTCTCTTAGGTAGACATTAGCTAGCAGTTCTCGCAGTGCTTATGCTCACTGCATTAGAACACTTGACTCACGAAATCGTAATGACACGATTAGCAAACAAACCATACCACTGGCGGGATTGAACCCGCGGTCAAGAGTCTAGCTGGTCCAGTGGCTAACGCGACGGTCTGGAGTTTTGAGACTCTCTGATCGCGGGTTCAATCCCGCCCGTGGTATGGTTTAGAACACTTGTGAAACCTTGTCTGTTGTGAGTTTGGTGTTCGTATCCGTTGAATTATTCTGATTCATTGCCTTTAGACCTGTCCTTCGTTTGTCAGCTCTCAGAATTCCGTGTCATTCCTTGTGAATTCTCCTCTTTCTATTTTTCCAGTCTCTTTACCTTTCTTTAAGTTTTATTTCTTATGGGACTTGAAGAGTTTCGGTTCCGAATTAACTATGATGGTCTGTTATTTCCAAATATTCGCTCAGTTTCTCTCGTTACCTGTGGATCATAACTTCTGGCTCTTCTCTTAAGGTCTTTTAAGAGTTATATATTTTTGAGTTTCTGAATAAATAACTCTCACACAGAAGAGAGAAACTTTTGACGACTTTACAGTCGGACTTGGACCATTAACTAGACACACACTAACACACGAAGGTAAGGGAGCCCTCCTTTCGTATATATACTGACTCCCTACCTTGTGGGTTAGTAAATGTGACAGTTAATTTATTGTAGATATTCATAGGGAAATAAAATCAGAAAACTGAAGAAGAGAAACTTGTTATTTCTAGAAATAAAATGGAAAAAATTAAAAGAAACATAGAATGAAAGATGAAAAATACAGAAAGCCTATATTGCAATAAATGAGCATTTCAGACCATAGCTGACATTATTTAGTCCCCAGAATGTGACTTCAGCACCATGTAATTGCCCCAGATACCCATACATACTGCAATAACCAGTTACGCAGTGTCTGTAAGTAAAACAAGCCCAATGTTTTCACCCGTACCAG